TTCTCACAGCACTGAAAGGAAGCTAATGCAACTAATGTAAAAGGAACAGGGTTTTCTGTAATGCTACTCAGTAAATGGCATATTTACATTGTTTTAAAATGCTTAATGTTAATATATCTGGCGTATAGGCTAAACAGTTAGCACAAACCTATGATGTCATTGAAAATTTGAGCCCACATTTAGACTGCATTTTAGTAGCTGTTCTTAATGGAAAGAAATGGGCAATACCATCATCTCCAAATACACAAACTGAATTTTTAATGATGAAATGGTAGCGTGTCTGCATTTCTACTAGTGAGATCACAGCATAAAACCAGCTCACAGAACACATACTGGGATTCCATTAACATACAGTCTGCATGCATAATTCAGACAGCTGCCATTACAATAACCCGCTCTCTTGATGACTGTCCGGTTATCAGACTGCTGTCTGTGTCTTGACTCTTTCTCTTACTCGCTTTATCCATCTATCTCTCTCGCTTTCTATCTCTGTCTCCATAGATACGCAGACAGTTTAGCCCATCCCTGCTTCAACCAATTGTTCAGGGATTGAAGTTCGCAGGAAGTAGGTCAGCCTGTGTTGCACTTGGCATAAGGTAAATTCAGCCGGTGCATTAAAAGACCAATTTTGGGTTAATGTTCATCTAACCTTCAAACAGGGACTGTAACACAATCCATAACACAAACTATGAAATGTGGAATTTTTTTTTTATGATGGGGCAGGAGGTGGAGCTGGAGATATCGCTTTGATAAAAAAGAAAAACAGGCACCCAGTCTAGTGGGGAAGAGGGTTTAAGCAGTGCTCCAGACTGCCGCACATGTAGCAAAAATCTTACTGGCATTGCACAACACAGAACAAACCATGGTTCATGAAAACATGGCCTTGATGAGCGGATTCTGTCTTGATCTCAAAAATGAACACTCTGAATCGATCCAACAACTGACTGAATGAAGCACAATGTCTAATGTGAAAAACTGTCAGTCATAAATGTGATGTGGTTTTTGCCAGTTGGTTGTTCATATGACCATATTAAAGTTACACATTCAGAACAGAATTTATAATAAAACGTTTTCAAATTAAAAAAATATTATTTATGGTTTGTAGTTTTAGCAGGCTTGCATTTTAGCAGGCGGAAATACATTACAAAACAGAGTTACAAAACACACAAATACAATCATAATCACTGTGACATCATCAAATTGGAATACAAGTTTAAACTAAACCAAAGTCCCTTTAAGACAAGTCATGTCATTCGGCGGCCATCTTTAAAATGCCTCTCGGGCATGCAAGTGCAACTCCTATCTCTTTGAATGGGAATCAAATTCTACAAAACTGTTCACTAAGTTTGCGATTAAATTTGATATTTGAAATCACCAAAGAAATCTGATATCAACGGTGTCATAAATGTTGTTTATTTTGCTCAAATAGCATTATAAGAAGCTTATTATTCAGGCTAGATCAGCCAGTGCGCATTCGCAGTCCTGAGCGCATGTCTCAGAACGCTGACTGTTTCTATAGCAACCGGGACTTCTAACGGCAGCTGCAGTGACGCGCTGACTTTACCGATTAGCGATTGGCTCCTTCATTCAGAAGGCAGAGCTTCCTGCGATTGAGCAGCCATATTGAGCGTTGCATTTTTCCCCATTCAAAACTATACGAGTGACATGTCTTGGGTATTCTATAGTCTTTGACTAAACATAATTAGGAAGACATGATAGTCTAAATAACCAAACATAGTGCATTTCAATTTAGATTTAATTCACTGCAGCAAAGGATCATGTAAAGTCAATGCACTATTTTTACTTTATCTAAGCTAAGCGATTCTGGAATTTGGCCATTTAGTCCTAATTTTAAGAGCCAGGTTTTTAATATGGAGAGCCATTTATGCTTGATCAAAAGTATAGAGAAATGTATGTGGGATTCAGACAGCTGAGACAAACAAGCTATCATTTAGCTGCTGTGAGGGATTTTATGACAGTGCTTTGAATATAACTGCCATCAGATCAACATATCAGTCTGCAAACATTAGGGGAAAGCTGTTAACCACCAACTGCATCTCCATCATCTGCCCAGTTAATCAGAACTACATCATCAAATCAGCAAAAACTCTATCTCTATCTCTGACAAACATCTGAAAACACCTGCACTCCAACACCATTCAAACCACACACACTCTTGACAAAGAGCTGACAGCATTCACCACTGACATATCAGCAGTGAGTAACCAATAAAGGCATGCAGCCAGTGGAGAGCTGAACTCACTGGACCTTATTCATTTAACATCCACAGGACAGAGCGGGCTGAACCTTTTGCTGACTAGCCACTTCCCAGGGTCCCATCAATCTACAAAGCCTTCAAACTCCCTCTGAAATGGACCTATGTGATCAAACTGGCGCAGTGACGTAAATGTTACTATTCTTAACATGGTGATCCTTACCTCCAGGGACCCTGACGTCTGCTGCAAACGTGAGCTATTGTAAAATGCTACTGCTTCTAAAAATAACATAATGGAGCAGTGAGGCTCATAAAGATAGGAACAATGCTTAGTAATTAAGTATCTTCTCGAGGTCAAAACGCTGCTCAAAGTAGTGTGGCTTATTTCCTAACTAAGTGTTAGGACAAGGCTCTTGAGAGCCCACTTCTGTTCAATACCAGATTTGGTTTCACAGTAACAGAAAGCTGATATGATAAAGATAAGGATTAAGTTACAAGCATTCTTAAAATGCTACTACATGAAACTCCAAGTTATGAGCCATTTTGCTTTAAAGGTCCGTTCACACCAAGAACGATAACTATAAAGATAACTAATGATAACCATATTTGCATCCACCCCAATTCACAATTATGGTCTGTTCATAACACTATAAGCACACACTGCAGTTTTGTCAAGCTCTTTGAAGCAGGATAGATTCTGATTGGCTGTCAATTGTCTGTTGTTCATAAGCTGGAAAAAAATTTTTGTAAATGTGATTCCAACGATGTTGTTCCTCCGTTATCGTTATCGTTATAGTTGTGGTGTGGACTCTGCTATTATTTTACATTTAGAATGATTTTTAAAACGATATCTTTATCATTATCATTATGGCCTTGATGTGAATGGGCCTTAAGATAGCTTTCAAATATTAATGCTATTATTCAATATTTAAATGAAACATCTGGGAATGTGTTGCAAATTACATCTAAATGAATGTTGCAAATATACACAATGTATATTTTTCAGTATTATATTTTCATATAGGCTATATTTTTTATTACATTGTAATGTTTCCTCTAACGAAAATGTATCTATTTCACAATTTTATAAAAAAAAACGTCCTTACAAATTATATTACAAGCATTCTAATTAGTTAGGGGAAAGAGAATTGTAAAATCAACATAAAATTTGATCTGAAAATCAAAATACCACATTTTAAGGTGGTTTAAGACTTTTGGATCCCACTGTATACTGAAAATGTCCTTTTCCCCTGCAGCCAGATGCAAATAGGTAAAAATACCCAATACATTTGGATATTGCAACTGAGCCCAGATACAGCATTTTGATGCTGCAACATTGCATTTTCCCCTCCCACAAGGATAAAAATAAAAATTTGTATACCCCTACAAACATACCAAAATTAGCCCTGTGGAGGTAAAAATGACAGAAATACAAGATAACACTTTCATTCAGTAAGAATAACCATTTGTCATCTGGTATAAGGCTGCTGTAGCATGCACATACATGGAAAACAAATAGCATGCCCTGTACATACATTTTTGTAGTGCTCTATCACTCACAACCCTAGTTACCGGTTTGCTTTAAGATTAATGTTATATTACATTCATCTAAATTAATATGTTGCCTATATTCTAGCTCATTTTGTATTTTGTGAATATATATGTAGGCACAATGTATATTTCTCAGTACACTGTATATTGTGTGTGCAATGGGGTCCAAAAGTCTGAGACTACAAATGAAAAAGTTATTTTAATTACAGTATGAAAAGAAAGAATTGAAAAATCTAAATTCTAAATACTACATTTTTAAGGTGGTTTCAGACTTTTGGACACCACTGTATACTGAAACCGCTTTTTGCTCTTTGGCCAGTTGTAGCTCTTTGTAATAAAACCTATTACATTTGGGTTTTTACATAAAGGTTTTCTAAACTTAGGGAGTTTGTTGCAACTGGGCCCAGATTCAGTATTTTGTGCTGCAACATTGCATTTTCCCCTCCCACAAGGATAAAAATAAAGGTTACTCTACTCTTACAGATACACCAAAATTAAAATAGAGTTAAAAATGACAGAACTACTTTGTTTCAATAAGAATAATCTTTTGTCGTCTGGTATAAGACTGCTGTACAGTAGGCTACTTCAGTCCTTGAAGCACCAGGATCATATTTCCTTTAGAGTTAAAGGCCAGTGACATCATCTGACATAAACCATTCTTTTTGCATATGCCATATTTGTTTAAGTACATCTGAACTTTAAAAGGGGCTGAGCTTGAACACACTGATACAGGCTTCAGAGATAAAATGGATTTTTCCCCCTCAACGTCAGCAGCTGGTAATAATACAGCAATAATAGCTATAATTATATATAATATAATATATATAATATATAAAATAATATAATTACACAATAATAGCCTACAGGTTGTTTAGCGGCCACCTGTGTGGTCATAGTCGAACCAACAGATTGTTCAGACAACAACCTGTAGTTTCGTAAACAACCTGTTAGTAGGTGATCGACTGTCAACACAACTTCCTTTCAGATAAGCGGTTCCGCCCGCCCACGTTGTTTAGGTAGATGTGAAAATTGTGAAACGTTTAGAAGGCCAGATCGTGATGAAACTGTAACACCGAAGCCATGAGTAATATATTATTTTGTCTGTCTGTCTGTTTTGCAATACCTCAACGAGACTGACTGACGCCCGCCTGCTCAAAACGAAAACCCATCAAGGCCTAAATTAAAATTAAAAAAAAAAAATACTGGCGACAAATGTAAACAAAAACACTCTTACCGGTCCTCTCCGCTTTAAAGTCACGTTTTTCCACAGGAGAAGGTGCAGCTGGTGAAGAAATCCCATTTTCGATGAGTTGGAGAATGAAGTAGCAAATTATAATATATTCATCACAGTGTTGTTGTTGTTTTGAGATTCCGCTCCGTCTTCATTTTGTCCTCCCCGGCGTGTGACAAAGCCAAACATCCTGAATTACGAGGGTTGGGTTTGTGAACAAAATGCTCTTTTGGTAGCAGCAGATGTAGATATTCGCATCTCATTGAGCAGTGGGCGGAGATACTCCTGTCAGCTTCAGCCAAACGTAGCGAGCGAACGTTTCTTATTGCTATAGTAACTTGAGCGCATTGAGCGAGCGACCGATGTGTCAGGTAGATCAGATGTGATTTTTATGACAATCTAGCAGCTGCCTCAACTGGATTACTGATGCGCTGCTGAATCCTCATCATTCTGCGACGCCTGGCTATTTTTAGAAACTCCATCGGTGTGAGAACATTTTAATATCACCATTTTTAGCTTTACTTCTAGGAGTCGGATTGAGGTAATCCCTCCTGGCTGGACAGACTTCGCCGAGATCACATTTTATTTTGAGGCTGTCGGGGATTGCATGAAGTCTGTGATCTTTGATCAGAGTACTGTATGTTATTATAGCGAGTTACCCTTGAAAAGAGTTGAGAGTGAGAAAAGCTAATAGCACCCTCTGCAGCATGGCACTGGTCTAAATAGTACGTTGTTAGAAAAAAAATAGCTCGAGTAATCAGTTCCCACAAGACATAGCTTATAATAAACACGTTCGTAGTAACTAGCAACCATTAGACACGCATCAAGGCCAGATGTTATAGGGGCAACTCTGTGGGAGCCCATTAACTGAAGGATTATACATATTTTAGAGCAGTGGTTCTAACCCTTCCTCTCCAAATCAATAATCCAAGCCCCCAACCTTTTCTATTCACAAAAATCTTTGTATTCTAGTATTATTACTAGTGTTATTCTATATGTTATTATTTTTAAACAAAACAAATTCAAGATGGATTTAAACATTCGTTGTTCTTTTTTGCATACTTTGCCAAAATGTCACTGCAGATATTCTTTACAACAGTCAACCTGCCATACAAACAAGACAACAGGGTGCTGTTATTTTTTTTTAAACTGTTTAAAAAAATTTTAATTAGTGAATTGAATATAGCTACTTTTATTTTAAGTTACTTCGAACAAATTAAGAGAATTAATCATTCGCATTAACTTCCATGTACTGACTTGCAGGCAGGCTTTGGAATAACAAAGGCTATGCTATTCTTATAGTATTTTATATGGCAGATATGGTAAGATTTTTGTATGGGATTACATCTCTGCCACAATTCTGCGTGCGAAAGATCATATTTTGAGCGCGGAAAAGTGTGTTTTGCACGTGCGCAAACTGAGTTTTGTGGAGAAAATGTTTGTCTTGCAAAGAAGAAAGTATTTCGAGCGCAAATTAGTTTTAAAATTAGTTTTTGGATTTGTGCAGACCTTCTCTTTTGCGCGTGCAACGTTTCACTAGCTTGCTCCCTTAATGCCCGCCCAGAGGCGAACCAAGATGAAGTGGGGGCCCCAGGCAAAATTAATAGATGAGGCCCTTCTAAAAAATTATTTTGTTAATATATCTTCATTACCTAGATATATAGTTATACATCATATAAAAAGTAGTTAAAACACATATAATAGAACATAAATTGTTTATTTAAAAAAAAAAAAGTGCTTATTCTTTAACAAAATATCAATCTTCATTTTTATGGCAGAAGATACAATACTGAAGATACAATACCAGATACCAACAGCCTAGTATGGTAAATTATTTAAATACTTAACTAGTTAACTACAAATTAAGTTAATTATTAATGGTATAATAATTAAATAATGCATTAAATATTTTGGCATTTTTTTAGATTTAATTTAAAAATAAAAATGTTCAAACATTGCCTACAAAGGACACATCAAAGGAGAGCTGTAAGTTATTTTACCTGTAGAAGCTGCTAAAGGCAACACAGACTTGTTGCTGCTCTAGTTTGTTACTCTGAATTTACTCTGCATCACTTAAAGCACAGCTGTTTTGACATCGGCTTGTCAGATAGTTCATACGGTCCATTGCTACAGTTATCTTATCACCATCAATAGCGGATAAATTTGGCGTCATTTTTTACACTCGCTTTTGTCATTCCTGAAACAGTATACGTGGACGGTCCTCTTAAACCTTTCTTCAAACTGTGAATGTAGTGTAAGAGACACCGAGCAAAGGGCGCTTCCATAATGGCACAACTGTCCGAGCTTACTCACACGAAAACTCCTCATATAATCAATAACTAACTACACAATGAATATCTTATTTACATCGTGTATGCTTTCCTTTTGTCTTGTTGTAATAGGAAGATATGTGAGTGTGTAGAAATACATAAACTTGGGAAAACAAAAATTACATCAGAGCGGATTCTGACTTACGTAAAGTAAACACCTCTGATTGACCACTGCTTTCAACAGAGATGCCTGTGATTGGCTACAAAACTCAAAGCTGCAAAACATATTGTAAATAGAAACTTTTGGTTTTGTAATTCGAAACCAAAGCGCGCACACAAAAACACACAGGAGCGTTTGAAAGCGGGTGACTTCGAGCGGGTACAGAATTGAGTTGATATACTGTCTGGAACTATAAAAAGACCCCCCCACCCAAACAATTTTAAAAACTCAGCGGATCTACACGAATCACACAAATGATCCATTTTGAATTCAAAATGGCGAATTTCACCGAAAGGTGACAAATTTGCATCCCTGGTACCAAAATTGCCAAGCGGTGACGCTGGTGATGTGCGCGTCTTTCCCGGTACCACCTATTCTATTGCAGCCTATATTAATACCTGCTAAACACTACATAATATGCTGCTGCGAAGTGCAACTCTAGCTAACCTGTTTCCCAGTAACCCTATTAGTAATTGGACTATTACCAGTAATTCATCTTGCAAATAATTAAACGAAAATAAGCTGGAATTAACATCGATAACATTTGTTTGTTATATAATTATCCTTAAGTCAATCTTATCCAGAAGAGGAAAAATACAGTGCATGCATAATTATTATGTAAGTTGATATTCTGATCAAATTTTTTTCCAAGCACATTTTACCAATTCCAAACGACATCAATCTTAATAACTACTATTAATCTTGTATTTAATCATTTAGAATTGATATATAATTATTCATGAAGGCTGGAAGTGAAAAATGTCTTATATTCAGGTGTGCATATAACTCATCTATAACTCAGATCGTGCGTGTGCAAAATGCTCTTTTGTGCGCTCAAAATATGATCTTTCGCGCGCAGAATTGTGGCAGAGATCTAACCCTATAGTTATAAACTTGAAAGTTTTGAAGTCTTGAAAGTTTGTTAACACGGGATTCGCGTGTAAATGGTAAACAACAAAAACAGCTCCTATCATGGCGTTTCAGTCATACTTAAAAAAAAAAAAAACATACTTATACCATAGGTGCATACCCAGATATGCGCTATTGACCAAGTTATAGCTTAGTGTGTGTCCATAATCTCCATGTCCATTTCTTATAGAAGCTGTCAGTATGATTTATACGATTTTTTTGTGTGTGTGTCTGTGTTCGTCTTTTGTCCTTGTTTGTAATTTGTGCCTTGTCCGTTTTTGTAACTGAAGACCTGGAGCAATATAATTATTGTAAAAGATTAATTGTTCGTTGTGAGTTTGATAAAATGTTTTAAGTTATAATTTGCTTATGGCAATTATAAATTAAAAACAAGTTAAAATGGTAAATGTTCTTTACATATTTTTGATTCTTCATTTTTTCTTTCCTGACATACTCCAATTCGTGTTAAAACACACTAGACATGCTTATTCTGTACTTTTTTTTTTAGCACGTTTTGTGTGAAATCATATTTATTTTGTCCATCAAAAGTTTGCCGTCACTTTAATTGAGCGTGAGCTTGTTAATGAACTTAACAAGAGGCTTCCTCTAGTTCTGTGTAAAATTATAGAGCGACACGAAGGTAAGCGCATTGCTGTTGTTGTTGTTTTTTTTAATTGTCGGATTATAATTCAGTATGCATCAATGAATGACACAGTTTTGACTGTCATGGTGTGCGCATGAACGAGTGTGAAAACCTGCTAATTACGTTGCTTTTTTCCTATCACTTATATTGGGTACTTTTTGCATTTAAATTGGATTATTCTGACTGCTGACATTGGAAATGATGCATGTGTTGTTTCGAGGGTATCGGTTAATTTCTTGATTGCCGTTTTGACAGTGTCTGCTTACATATTTTATTCATGTTCGGTAGCTTAATTCTCTTTAATGTAGGCCTAGGCTATTTGCCCCGATTTGATCCGTTACTGAGAAATTTATCTAACGTTATATTTATATTATTTTGTCGTCATTATTTTGTTTTATTGAGTTAAAAATTGCCCTTATCAACCTTGATTTACATAGTCCATCACATTATTTTGACAGTTAAAGTTTTGGGCGAGTTTTTGTGAGCTTTTGGGCTGGAAATCGTCCATCCAATCTGGCAACACTGCTCACGCGACGCCCCTGCTTGACGCTCACGCAGCTGCTCCTGCTCCCGGTGTGAATGCACTCATTTGTTAACATGCACGCCGAAAAAAATACGCGCCGCTCACGCTTGCGACGTGAAACTGGCCTAATAGTGGAACTGAGTAACAGGGGCCCTTAGTGAGGGGAGGGCCTCTAATGATATACTGATTATTATTATTAATATGATTGATGAGGTGTTGAGTTGCGAGGGGCCCACCCCCTTGGTTGGGTGATTGGGGCCTAACATTTAATTGGTCGCTCCCATTTTGTTGGTTCGACTTACTGAAGGAATCGGCCTTTTCATTCAGAACAAAACGGCTTCTTAGTGAAGCATAACTGAATCACGAGGGGAGGAATGCTGTTCGTTCAGTTCGGCATTTGAGTCATTAATAGATTGACGGATGAATTATGAATGTTTAATGCGTATAATGCTTTTTATATTGTTTTATTATCTTATTGTTGTTGTTGGTGGTGGTGATGTTACTGTCCACTGACTGGAAGCATCTATCACCAAGACAAATTCCTTCTGTGCACATTTCGCATTAAAGCTCATTCTGAATTCTGATTGTGAGAAGACTTGTCTTGGTTGATTTAGTGTTTTAATGAATGAGTGAATGATTAAATGACTCGCTCATGGCAAAACGACATTGAACCACTGAATCTATTTAGTGTACAAATTCTAAACATTCAAGTCACTGTGATGAATCAAACTTTCCACAGCTAATGTTTGAATAGATGTGGGCGCTAGCTGAGGTGCGAAAAATTGTGTAATGCAAAGTAATATATTTATATATATACTGTATATACAAACACACATTTTGTAAGACATTTATCCATAACTGAACAGAATTTTGCTGTGGATATTGTGCTGATGATTTTATTGATTTGTTGGGGATACAAGATCGTCTGCGTTATGATGGCTTGTTTCCCTCCAAATATTTGGTAAACACCT